CACATGAAGGGCATGCAAGAGTTAGGAGGGCACAAAAGTGTCGCATTCAAAGACTTGTGTATGTTCCCAAATGTCCACCTGCCACCTGGGTTCAAAACCCCTAAGTTTGATAAGTATGATGGACACGGTGATCCCATAGCCCACCTTAAGAGATACTGTAATCAACTTCGGGGTGCAAGGGGTAAAGAAGAATTGCTCATGGCTTATTTTGGTGAAAGCCTGACTGGTGTTGCCTCAGAATGGTTTATAGGTCAAGAGATTTCCCACTGGCACATATGGGATGATATGGCTCAAGATTTTGTTAGACAATTTCAGTACAATGTCGACATTATGCCAGATCGTAATACATTCTCCAATACAAGAAAAAAACCAAGTGAAAGCTTCAGAGAATATGCTATCAAATAGAGGGAACAAGCAGCCCGAGTTAAGCCCCCATTAAATGAGCAAGAATTGGTTGATATCTTTATAGAGGCTCAAGATCCTGACTACTTCCACCACCTCACAGCCGCAATGCGAAGACCGTTTCACACAGTAATCAAAAATGGGGAAATGGTCGAAAGTGGTCTCAAAACAGGAAGGATCGTGAGCCAGGCAACAATCAAAGCTACCACACAGGCCATTCAAGGTGGTTCAACAAGTTTTGGAAATCGTAAAAGGAAAGAGGAAGTTATTTCATTGGCATTAGGGTCAAGAGGAGCTCAGAGAAAGTCTAATTGTCCTTACACATCAGTTCAGGGACAACTTAGCTATCCTCAGCATTACTACCCTTATGCTCTTCAATATCCAGTATCTCCATCTCCGTACACGGTCTTAAATGCTCAGTCATATGTGCATCCTCCCAATCGCCCATATTTTTAGGCCCCATCTCAAGGAAACTTTCTCCCACAACGGCCACCCTATCAGGTACCTTACAACTCTCCTCTTATGCGGAATTATGCTCAAGATCAAGCACAGAAAAAGAAATTCACTCCATTAGAGAAGTCGTACTCCAGCTTGTTTCAGAAGTTAAGAAAGATAGGAGCGATTGAGTGCATCCCACCACATCGTCTGAATCCAAATGCTCCAGGTTTCCAAGCCAATGAAAGATGTGAATACCATTCAGGAGCCCCAGGACACAACACTGATAATTGTTGGACCTTGAAGGGAGCAATAGAGAAGCTGATCGAGCATGGAGTTGTTATTGTGACAGATGATCTAAACACTCCCAATGTGACAAATAACCCACTTCCAGCTGAAAACAACTTAGTGGGAATGGTTTGTGATGATCAAGAGTACAAACTCCTCAGCAAAATGGGAAAGTTGTTTAGGAAGATCGGAGAAGAAGACAAGTCAATGAAGAGTTTAAAAAAAGTTGCATCTCTGAGTGCCGAAGGTGTCAATCTTGACACCAAAGTCTTCAAAGGGGATTGAAGTTCGAGCAGCTATGCCAAAGTTGGATGTATCAAAAGGCTTTTCATTAACACAATATGATCAAAGTAGCATTACCAAGTTGAAAGAGCCTATTTTTGTTAGGCCCGTTCAACAGCTTCCAGTAATTGATTCAAAGGTTGTCCCTTGGAACTATAACAAAACCGCAGTGGTTTATCAAGGAAAGGAGATTGTCGAAGAAGTTAATGAAGCGGGAGGTTTGACACGCTCCGGAAGATGTTATTCTCTAGAAGAATTAAGAAAAGGCAAGATGACTGAAAATATCCAAGTACCACTAAAGAAAGCAGTTACTGAAGAAGCAAATGTAGAATTTCTAAAAAAGCTTAAGGTTCCAGATTACTCTGTCGTGGAACAATTGATGAAGACGCCTGCACAAATTTCACTGTTGTCTCTACTTTTGCACTCAGAAGAACATTGTCTTGTGTTGAATAAGGTTTTGAATGAAGCACATGTACCAAAAGAGACCACAGTAAGTCAGTTGGAGAATATGACCAGGCGCGTCTTCGAGTCAAATGCCATCACTTTCAGTAATGATGAGTTGCCCAAGGAGGGAGCTGGACACAACAAAGCTTTGCATCTTACAGTGACATGTGAAGATTACTATGTAAAGAGATTTATGATAGATGGAGGGTCAAGGGTTGACATATGTCCTCTTTCTACGCTGCAAAGCTTGAAAGTTAATACTGACAGAATTCACCCCAGTAATGTATTTGTGCGAGCTTATGACGGCTCAAGGAGGGATACCATTGGTGAAATCAAGTTAAACATGACAATTGGGCCAGTAGTCTTTACGATTGTGTTCCAAGTAATGGATATGGAAACATCTTATAATTTTCTACTAGGAAGGCCATGGATCCACATGGCTCGAGCCGTCCCATCAACCCTACATCAAGTTGTCAAGTTTGAATACAACAATCAGGAAATCACTGTTCATGGGGAAGATGATTCACCTATTTACAGAGATCCATCCATCCCATACATTAAGGCAAAGAAAAGATGTGATTCTGTTGTTTACCAGTCTTTTGAGGTTGTATCATTCAATCGCTTTAAAGAAGGACAACCTATCATCCAATAATGTATCTCTTCTTCCGCTTCAATGGTAGCAACGACGATGCTCAAATATGGTTATCAACCCGGTAAAGGTTTGGGAGTATATTCGCAAGGAATCGTGGATCCCATTACTCTTTTAGGAAACCAAGGAACCTCTGGCCTCGGATACAATCAAAGCAAGAGAAATGGAGATAAAGCTAAGAACCACAAAAGGATTGATTGGTCGTTGCCACAACCGATTCCCCATATTTCTCATTCTTTTATCAAACCGCAGGGTTCAGAATTGAAAGATTCATTCACTCTTGAAGACAATGAAGAAATCATTGAGGATCTCAGTCAGTTTTTTTGTGAAGTAAATATGGTCCAAGTTGGTGAAGGCACAAGTCATGCCAATATGCAGCTCGTGGGCTCAGGTGTTGAGTTAAACAATTGGGAAGCCACTCCTTTCCCCATAAGGAAGGAGTCGTGGTAGTTTGTTTGCTACTCTTTTGTATTTTGTTGTTCTCAGGGTTGTTGTCCGAATAGTTCAAAGTATTTTCTTATTGTCAACCCTTCTGTCCCTTTTGATGTCAATGAAATGAAATTTCAGCTTTATAGTAAATTTTGTTTTTTTTCCTCTCTTAATTCTTATTTTCTATTTTTCAGTTCTGTAAATGACGGCTTTGATAACATGACATGCATGCGTAATTCACTCCCTGATTTCAAAGAGTTGTTCATTCTTGAATCACCAAGTCAAAAGGTGGAATATGATAAAGAAGAGGCTTTTAGGGAAATTAATAGGGAACTGAAACAGTTTGAGCACAAACCGAAACCTAATCTTAGTGAAACTGAGATAATCAATTTGGGAAGTTCCGAGGATGTTAAGGAAATAAAAAAAAGTTTACATATCAATCAGGTAATTAGAGAGAGAATAATACAACTTTTGTTTGAGTACAAAGATGTATTTGCTTGGTCTTATGATGACATGCCAGGTTTGAGTGTTGATTTAGTGGTTCATAAGTTGCCCGTTTATCCTGATTGTCCACCCGTCCAACAGAAAAGAAGGAAATTCAAACCGGACATGAGTGAAAATCAAGGAAGAAATAATGAAACAATTGAATGCAAAGGTAATCCAAGTTATTCGTTACACTACTTGGTTGGCAAATGTTGTTCCTGTGCCAAAAAAGGATGTAAAGACAAGAGTTTGTGTTGACTATCGGGATTTGAACAAGGCTAGTCCAAAAGACAACTTTCCATTTCCAAATATCCACATCCTAGTTGATAATTGTGCAAAACACGAGATGCAAACTTTTGTGGACTGTTATGCGGGGTATCATCAAATCTTGATGGATGAAGAGGACGCTGAGAAAATTGCTTTCACCACTCCATGGGGAACGTATTGCTACAGGGTCATGCCATTTGGTCTTAAAAATGCTGGGGCGACTTACATGAGGGCTATGACCACCATGTTCCATGATATGATGCATAAAGAAATAGAAGTATACGTCGATGACGTAATCATCAAGTCTAAAACAAAAGTTGATCATGTGCAAGATTTGAGAAAATTCTTGGAAAGAGTGTGAAGATATGAACTCAAGCTTAATCCAGCAAAATGTGCATTCGGAGTTTCATTTGGAAAACTTTTGGGTTTTATTGTCAGTAGAAGGGGAATCGAATTGGTTCCCTCCAAAATAAAAGCCATTCGAGATTTGCCATCCCTGAAAAATAAAATCGAAGTCATGAGTCCACTTGGGAGGTTGAACTACATCAGCAGGTTTATTGCTCAACTCACAACCAGATGTGAGCCCATTTTCAAACTTTTGAAGAAGGATGCTGCTGTCAAATGGATAGAAGATTGTCAACGATCTTTTGAAAAAATCAAGGAGTATTTGTCCAACCCTCCCGTGTTGGTACCGCCTGAACCTGACAGGCCTCTCTTTCTATATCTTTCAGTTACAGATAATTCCTTTGGGTGTATTCTCGGTCAACATGATGATGCAGGAAGGAAGGAGCAGGCTATCTACTACTTGAGCAAGAAATTCACTAGTTATGAGGTCAAGTACACCCTTTTGGAAAGGACGTGTTGCGCCCTAACTTGGGTAGCTCAAATGTTAAGGCATTACTTATTGCCCTACACAACTTACCTCATATCAAGGATGGAACCTTTAAAGTACATCTTTCAGAAGCCAATGCCAACTGGCTGACTCGCGAAATGGAAAATTTTGCTCACTGAATTTGACATTATATATGTCACTCGGACTGCAATGAAAGCCCAAGCTTTGGCAGACCACTTGGCAGAGAACCCAGTCGATGGTGATTACGAACCATTGGATACATATTTTCCAGATGAAGAGATTAACTCAATTGAGGAAGTAGGTTCAAATGGAAATCAAGCCTGACAATTGTACTTTGATGGAGCAACCAACACAAAAGGCACAGGGATTGGGGCAATTTTAATATCGCCCACAGGGCAACATTACCCTGGAACAGCTCGACTTCGCTTCTTTTGTACAAATAACACGACTGAGTATGAAGCTTGCATCATGGGTCTAAATATGGAAATAGATTTGGGTGTGCAGGAATTAATTGTGTTGGGAGATTCTGATTTGCTTATCCGACAAGATCAAGGCGAATGGAAAACACGAGATCTCAAGCTCCTTCCATATAGACAATGTGTGGAAGATCTTAGCAAAAGGTTCAGGTACATCGAGTTAAGATACATTCCCAGGTTTCATAATGATTTGGCCGATGCCCTGGCTACTTCGGCCTCAATGCTTCCCTATCCTGGAAACACTTACATCACCCCATTAGAGATTCAAGTTCGGGACCAACATGGCTATTGTAATACAATGGAAGTAGAACCTGATGGTGAGCCATGGTACTCAGACATCAAGAATTTTTTGAAGACAGGGAGATGCCCCGAACATGCCAACAAAAGCCAAAAAAGAAATATTAGACGTCTGGCTAATGGTTTCTTTTTGAGCGGGGATGTTTTGTATAAACGAACTCCGGATTTGAATTTATTGAGATGTTTGGATGCTGAAGAAGCCGAGACAATTATGAATGAAGTGCACGCTGGGGTATGTGGACCACACATGAACGGATATGTCCTTGCAAAAAAGATACTCCGTGCGGGGTATTATTGGCTTACCATGGAAAGAGATTGCTTCACTTTGTGAAAAAATGTCATCAATGTAAAATCCATGGAGATCTCATACATCCACCTCATTCAGAGTTGCACCCCATGGCTGCTCGTTGGCCCGTTGTTGCATGGGGAATAGATGTAATCGGACCAATTGAGCCCAAAGCCTCTAATGGACATCGATTCATTTTGGTTACAATTGATTACTTCACCAAATGGGTGGAGGCGATAACTTTCAAAGCAGTCACTAAGAAGGCGGTCATGGATTTTTTTCATTCAAACATTATTTGTCAATTTGGTATCCCAAGAGCTATCAGCACAGATAATGCCGCAAATCTCAATAGTAATCTGATGAAGGAGGTATGCGAGCAGTACAAAATTGTGCACCACAATTCTACACCATACCGACCGAAAGCCAATGGAGCTGTGGAGGCAGCCAACAAGAATATTAAAAATATTCTTAGAAGGATGGTTCAAGGCACTAGACAATGGCATGAGAAACTGCCTTTTGCACTTTTAGGATATCGCACAACAGTGTGTACCTCGATTGGTGCAACTCCTTATTTGCTGGTGTATGGAACTGAGGCTGTGATTCCAGCAGAAGTTGAAATTCCATCTCTTCGAATTATTGTTGAGGCTGAAATTGAAGATACCGAATGGGTCAAAAAACCCGACTAGAGCAACTCGCATTAATAGATGAGAAACGATTGACGACTGTCTATTTTGGTCAGCTTTATCAGCAAAGGATGGCTCGTGCATACAACAAAAAGGTGCACCCAAGACACTTTGAAGTAGGTCAACTGGTCTGAAAGCGCGTTCTCCCACACCAAGAAGAAGCCAAGGGAAGGTTTGCCCAAAATTGGCAAGGTCCATATCTTATCAAGGAAGTATTGTTTAAAAGAGCCCTGCACCTTCCTGATGTGGAAGGAAAAACCACGGGCATAATTGTTAATGCAGATTCAGTCAAAAGATACTACATCTAATGCATTGTAAGGTTCTGTGACATGTTTGGGGTTGAAAGAACAGAGGCACCTCCTTAAAAAAAATAAAAAAATATCTCATTGAAAATTCTGAACTACGTTTGACATGATATCCGAAAGGATACGTAGACCCTTAAGGGGTTCGGTCATATAAAAAAAAATCAATTTTCCAATATTTACAGAAAACTGGGGCATTTTTAGTTTTTTTTTTATATATATAAGGTCAGATCATAATTCTGTTTATTCTGGCAACCGACTTTTTGGTCAAATCTGAAAATGATATTAATCATCAAAGGCAGCATCCAAAAAAAAAGAAAAAAAAGAGTGTCTTATCGGCGCGAAAACCTTCATAGGCATCATAAGACGAAATAAAATCTTATAGGTGAAAATCCTACGGGCACCTTAAGATAAAGGGAGAGAACATCATGAATGAAATCTGCAAAGATGATCATTTCTCGACACCTCTGCATAAAGGGCACATAGATCAATTGAAGATGACTCATATTTTGAGAACTAAAAAAAAATTGGATCAGGGGGCAAGTCCAAGTGCATGTCATGGTTCAATCAAAGTTGACATATGCCTCCAGATAAGTTCTCTTTCTCATTTTTAAAGGAATATCCTTCATTAAGTTTATAGTTTTCTTGATCCAATCTTTCCTACTCTTAAGTTTGATATATTTTTTTTATTATTTTTTTTCTCTCTTCTCCTTTTGATATAATCTCTTGAAAAAATAAAGTAAAGAGTGCAAAGCTTACTACGGGTTTCCAAAAGTAAAGCTGAGTATATGAGTTGACAAGCCATGGACCAAGGACTAAAATACCTCAGATCTTCACTCAAAATTCTTGAAGGTCATCATTCTTTGGAACATCACTCGCACCATGATATTTGGTAGTACCAAAAGATCAAGGCCCCTGTTTAACAAAGAGGGAGCTTCAAAGGTTGCTTAACCAAGGAGTTGTAGTAGAGTTGGAGAAATTGATCATGAGTATGGTCAAGTCGTTGGAGAACCAAGGCCACAAACCAACCACCATTTTAAATTAACAATTTTCTTTTTCATTTGCTCAACACAGGAAGAAAAAATGCAGGGTTACAAGTCAAAAAGAAACATCGCAAAAAGGAAGATCTCCAAAGTCTTCAAATGTTTGGTGTTTCATCTCATTCTACTCGCATTTTGCCTATCAATGCGAGAATTTCGTGCAATACGCACCAATTTGAATTCCGTGCAACAAGCACACGTCCTTTATTCATGGGCAATACGCACCATCCTTTGTTCATGTGCAATACACACCAGTCTAAATTTCGTGCAATACGCACCAATCTCAATTTCTTGCACCAAGCAAACATTCTTTATTCATGGGCAATATGCACCATTCTTTGTTCATGTGCAATACGCACCTGTCCGAATTTCGTGCAATACGCACCAATCTGAATTCTGTGGAACAAGCACACATCCTTTATTCATGGGCAATACGCACCATCCTTTGTTCATGTGCAATACACACCTGTCTGAATTTCGTGCAATACGCACCAATCTGAATTTCGTGCAACAAGCACACATCCTTTATTCATGGTCAATACACACCATATTCTTGTCTGGAGCAATACGCACCAACATTCATAGGTTATACACACCCTATTCATATTTTGGGGATACATCGAATCTTAGGACAATGCGTCTTATTTGGAACTCTAAGGGCAACACGCTTCACTTAACATATTCATTCTAGGGTCATTCTTCCTAGTTCAATATTCTCATATGTTTTCTTCTTTCTTAAAGGAAACATATTCTTCATGGGTTCTTCATTTTGTGATATTGAGTTTTTGAGTTTCAACAACCTACTCAAGTTAAAACATGCACTTAAGAATGATCCACCAGTCGCCAAGATAGCATGAAGACCGATCTCAAAGATAATGCACAGAGCAAGTGAAAGATCTAGACAAGATCCTAATAAGATACATCAATTAGGGATCTTGTAACATTTATAATGTAGAGAGACATAGTTCTCTAACTTTTTTTTGTAACTATAGGCAGTAGATGATGACAAGCAATATGAAGCAATCTTTTGGTCGTCTTTTATGATAGTTTCGACTATCAAAGTTTCTCGAACTACACTGATCTGATTTCCTTTTAATCAAGGATATGTAGGCAACCTTTGAAGCAAGGTTCAGTCATCTTTTTCAAAATGGCTTCATCGGAGTTTGAAACAATCAAAAATTAGCCACTTCGTTCACTTTCTTTGCTTGAAAACTCTTCATGTTTCCAAGCAAAGAGGGGCATGCTGTGAACACCTAATTTTTGACGTGTTTATTTTACTCCTATAATATTTTTAGTAAGAATTTTTTTTTAATTTGAATTTTTGGTATTTGTCTTTATTAGTTTATTGGCTCAAATGACCCAATTTTGTTTAAATTGGGATGATTTAAGTCAATTCTGATGGCCTAATTGATCTTGACCCGGTCCATAGAAATGGTCAAGATTGAATCTCAACCATTCATGATATTTTGATCCAAGGGCTGTTATTGGACCCAAACAAAAATACAAAACTCCAAAAAATTAGAATTTTCTTTTATTTTTATTTTAGATTTTTTGTCCCTTTCTTCTTCCCCTTACTATCATGCCGCCGGCCGGCCACCGCTACCGCCACCACCGCCCGGTGGCCACCACCTTTTTTTTCGGAATTTTTTAAAAAAATTTACCATATTTTCCTTTCATCCTCCTCTACCTAAATCTACAAACCTTTCATCCATATCTATAGCCAAACTCCGTAGATCTAAGGAAAACCAAATATAAATTTTTACTTTTTCCTTAGATTTATAAAGTTCCGGTCATTCCCATCCCAAACCCTTTACATAAATGTGTAGAGCTCTTCAAGGGCTATCATTTGATATAAATTTTAAGTTCAAAATCCATCAAAAAAAATTCCGGCAAAGTTTTCCAGCGACCTTCATTTACCCGAAAGTTATGTCAATCTTTTCCCCCCTCTCAATCTTTATCCAAATTCATCATTATCTTTTTTCCCGTTTGACCATATAAGTCGTTTGATGTCGGATTTATGTTATTAATGTTCTTTAAGTTTATCATGTTGATGAGTTTCTTGAAGTATTATTTTTTTTATTTCACTTTTTATGTTTATTATTTATTTATTTTGACTTTTTTTTTCTGCATTATTTTGTTGTGTTTGATCTTTAAAATTGTTTAGATGTTTAAATTTTGTGTTAGTGGGTCAATTTGTTTGGGTCTTGAAGAAATGGGTCAACATTTGGGCTTATTTTAAATTTTTTCAGATGGTCCATTAACTATTATCCAAACAATGAATAAAAGAAATGGGTCATCTAAATGATATTGGGCCTATTATTTTCTGATGACCCATATAACTATATTCAATTAATGAATAAAGTAAATGGGTCATCTAAAAGGGCAAAAGAATTATGCAATTAATCTTATTTTTTCTTAAAACAAAAAATAAATAAAAAAAGAAAAGAATTTCATTGGCCATCTTGGGTGGCACTTTGGAAAAACAAAGAGTCCAATGCATGCATTGGCTCTTGAGTTTTCAAGAAAGGTGGGATGTTAATGTTGATCACCTATTTAAACCCTCTTGGAGAAGAAAGAAAAGAGGAAGATATAGAAAGAAAATTGCAAAAAAAAACTTACTTAAAAAATTTCTTTTTCTTAAAAAAAAAAAAGAAGATATCTCTATTGGGTTGTCTTGGGAATTCAATTAAATTTGCTCCTATATTTGCTTGTCATCAACTCTAGGTATTTCTTTTTTTACATTTCAATGTAATTTTTATGTTATTTTTATGTTTTGTTTTTTTTTGAAAAATTGTTGATATTTTTTGCTAAGCTTATTATGATTCTCGTATGATTATGTTTATCCTTATGTTACTTTTTTGTATATTTCTATTAGTTTATTATTCTATAGTGTTTTTCATATGATTATGTTTATTATGATGTACATATATATTATTAATCATTTTTAGCTTAAATTTTAGCTTTAGTAAGTAAAAAAAAGTAATTAAAGTATAACAATTGCAAATATGTTAGGTTTTCGGTAACTTTCTTTTTTATGGAATGAACTTAAGAAAATAAAAATAAAACAAAAGTAAAACTAGTCATTTTTGCAAAAGGGTTTAATCTGGTCATTTTTGCAACAATTGAAAAAATGTAAATCTGGTTATTTCTGCAAAAAATAAATCTGGTTATTTCTGTAAAAATTGTAAATCTGGTTATTTCTGCAAAAAAAATCTGGTTATTTCTGCAAAAAATG